TCTCTCTCTCTCTCTCTCTCTCTCTCTCTCTCTCTCTCTCTCTCTCTCTCTCTCTCTCTCACACACACACACACACACACACACACACACAGGGGGCATCACTAACTCTGGACGGTGTGGTATGTCCTTATCTATCATTCAAATGCATCCTGGGCAGACTGTCGGGGTTCAAATTCATCCTCCTGACGCGTCGGTAAAAGTCCAATGAGACAGTCTGGCACAGTCATGCTTTTTTTGGGGGACTTGCGTACAGCGAACACGACAACACACAAACAGAGTGAAAAGCATAGCAGTCCAGCTCCTCTCCCTTCTGTAACTAAGAGAAAAAAGGAAACAAGGAAGACGGAAATGACTGTGGAACTTCAAGGATGTCAAAGTACACGTGGCTGGTTGCGTGGTACAGGAAAAGAACTGGAAAACTGACTACAAAGCGGACAACCGGATGCAACCAACTTAATGCCGGAAGAACTTAGTGAAAAAAGCACAATGAGGAAGGGGGGGAGGGGGGGGGGGGGGGGGGGGGGAGGGAGGGGGGGAGATACACCCGGATTGTAATCTTATTATGCTCATGATTAGTCTCATCTTATCTAACCTTGTATTGGGCCCTTGCTACCCCCTTAGCGAGCTATTTTTCTTTTGTCTTTTTTCTCTCTTCCTCCTTTTTTTTCTTCTCCTCTTTTCTTTCTTTTTTTTTGAAAAGGACACACAACAGCCTTGAGATATCATCGTGGAACCGACCGGTCCCCGGTAATTCATAAAAAAATTATTCACCTACTCCCATCCGGATTCGAATTTCGAACTCACGTCTGTATTTCATTTCAACAGTCCATTAAGTGTACAAACTGAGCCAGGCCCGTTGGTTAACCGGGGAGCCGTCAGTTCGACGATGGTACACCTAGTTTTGCTACGCGTTTGTGTAAACACAAAATCACTGCCAGGCATTGTCAGCGAATTAGCACGTCCATGATCCATCTGGATTTGAACTCAGGTCTGCGTTTCAACAGTTCATTAGGCCCGCACCAACTGAACCAGGCCCGTTGGTTAGAGACTTAGAGACCTATTTTCACTACGTGTTTGTGTAAACACAAAAATGGCTGCCAGTTATGGTCAGCGAATGAGCACGTCAAGTGGGTATGTGAAGATGCCATCGGCACCAAGGCGCTTGACTTTCGGCAGAAGATCTCGCGCCTGGGCGACGGTGCAAACCACCTCAATCGCACAATACGTGTCATCGAGAAGAGGGCTGATTGTCGGAGACTGCTCCGCGGGCAGCAGCTTCGTGAAATCGTCCAGTAATCGTCTCTGCACATTCATCTTCATGCCCACCTGCAGAAGAAGTACAGTATCCCGACAGTGTCAATAATGAATAAATAATGAAATTCATAATTTAATTATTTTTAATAATTAAATACAACAACCAGTGCATCTGCAGGTGGAACCGTAAAAAATTGCTTGTACACGAGTACAGGGCCCAAATCTATACGATTGCTTGCTTGTACATGAGTACTGGGCCCAACTCTACCGTACCCCCGGACCCAGGCCCGGTGTGAAGGTGGATCTTGGGTGAGGTTCTTGCTCGATGGGATGTTGAGCTGTTCATGACGATTCAATCAGTTCGATAACTGTTCGGCATGAGTGGTGTTGCGGATGGTCATCTCAAGAATTTGTCTATTTCTTCATATATTGCTGGGGAGGGGGGGGAAGGGGCAACTGTCATTTTTTTTTTTTTTAAAGAAGGTCAGCACTGTAGATTCTAGCTTGGGAAAATGCAACTTCCATTTCGAAGTCAATTTAGCTTTGGATGGACTGATGGTGGTTTCATGAAACAAAACACTCAGTGGGAGTTAGTATGTTTTAAAATTTCAAAATTCACATTCGAAGATAAAAAAAATCAAAATCTTCCCGGGGGAGGAGTGAAAAAGGCCGAACGGAGGAGGAGAAGCGGAGCAAGGAGCAAAGGGGCCGAGAGAAACACAAAAACGGAAAACGGGTCCATGTGCAGCAAAACTGCACTCTGATGAGACGTTCTTTTTTTTTTTCTTTTTTCTTTTTTTCTTCTCATCCCATGACGATATGACACACTTTCTGGCATGGGTCCAAGTACGCCGTTTACGTCGCGATTTTAACTTCACATTGTTCACAATTCACTTCACAATTTACTTCACAATTTACTTCACAGGTCACTTCACAATTCTTTCGTTCTTTCTTTCTTCTTTCTTTCTTTCTTTGTTTTTTTAAGGGACAATGCTCCAATCTGTTCGTGGGGAGCAACACGTGCTGGGAACTGCGGCCAGCGTCAAGAGTACATAGAACATGAGGTACAGGGGCCATTACCCCGGCTTTGGCAGTTCACATCACAATTAACTTGACAATTCACTTGACAATTAACTTCAAAATTCGCAATTAACTTCACAACTAACTTCACAATTAACTCCCCAATTTACTGCACAATTCATTTCACACGTCACAATTTACTTCCTCTCCCACAGTTTAATTCATTTGTTCTGCCACGCCATGCGTCAAAGCAAAACACACACACACACACACACACACACACACACACACACACACACACACACACACACACACACACTCTCTCTCTCTCTCTCTCTCGGTGTCAGCGTCAGCTGTGCTGGAAACCGGGTCCAGCGTCCTGGTGTCACATTTCAGCAAACATTTGGTGGAGCCTCCTGGTGCATTCGAGCTTTAGGGATCTGAGAGTTTTAATTTGTGTGACATGAAATTTATATCGATATCGAAGTTCCACGACACTCAAATTGTCATTCCAACTTCTAACATTTGTTTCCCCATTTTTTCCCAGCTTGTGTTGGCCAATGAATCAGTTTGATATGGTCTCGGTATTGTATAGTCAACAAGAAGTTTTAGGTAGGTTTCGACACCGGTGGTTTAAGGGAACCTAGAACAAGAAGCTTTCGGTAGGTTTCGACAAGCCGTTTAGCACACATATAGACTCGATGTATAGTCAAAGACAGGCTAGGTAGGTTCCCTTAAACCACGAGTACACCGCCGATTCATTTTATCTACAGCACTCGGAGGGCGTCCACGGCTCCTCTACCCACCTTTAGAAACTCGGGGAACGGTTAGGCCGTTTTTTGGCCGCCCACCCATCTCTACCCCCCTTTAGGAACTCGGGGAACTGGTAGGCCTCTTTTCCGAATAGGCATGTGGCCTACCGGTGGGTCTGTGTTGCACCTGGCCTTGGTCTGAGAGTGGCAAAAATGGAAATATGCCGAATCAGCGTGGCGATTATTTCACAGGTAAAATGATTTCGTTAAATTTTTATGATATTATTCCTTGAAAGATCATTGACCTAATTTTAGAATTTTCTGTGAATTCTTCTGAGCATGAAAAATCACCAAAGTTGCCATACTTCTTCTGTTACAGGTAAAATGATTTTGTTAAATTTTTATGATATTATTCCTTGAAAGATCATTGACCTAATTTTAGAATTTTCTGTGAATTCTTCTGAGCATGAAAAATCACCAAAGTTGCCATACTTCTTCTGTTAGCCGAGAGTCTCGAGTGCCAACTGGCTGCAAAATTTGTTGCGTCTGTTTTTTTTCGTTTCTTTTGCCATATGTGCCAATTTCTTTTTCTCTTTTCAAATTTGAAATTTGAATTTGCTTGTTTTTTTCGTTTTCCTTTTTGTTGAAGTGGGTCATGGGTTTTCTATAGCACACGGTAAAAAAAAAAAAAAAAAAAAAGGTGATTTTTTTTTTGGCATAAAAAAAAGAAAAAAAAAGGTGAAATAAAAAAATCGAAACAAAAAGGAAACAAATCAAACAATAGAAAAAGGATAGGGAGGCGGGCTCTTGTGCAGTCGATGTTGTCAAAAAAAAAAAAGAAATAAAAAAAGAAATAAAAAAAGAAATAAAATAGAACAAGATCATCATTGACCCTTGAAGAGTACCGGCAACGGGCACCCGTCGAAACCGGTCGGGCCTTGCCAGTGCCGCTTCGACACGCGAGATGTTGTATTTCCTCTCTCTTTGCGCAGTGTTGAAGATTGTTCTAGGGATTTGCGTCTGTGCTGTCCTGTTATTTTTCACTGTATGCTTTCTTCTTGTTCACGCCGAGCGAACGGAGTTGTGTGCGATTGCATTTGACGTCAGTCATCGCCGATGGGGTCGGATTAAGTGCTCGTCTTCGGGATTAACATTAACCCCCAGTCCACTTAGCTGTTCGGTTGAGTGTATGCCTCCTGATCTGGAGGCCACACGTTCGATCCTTGTGGTCGGCTCATGGAAGTCTATATTCATATTCACCACACATTGCCCTTGAGAGAGTTTTCCTTTCTTCTTCTTCTTCTTCTTCTTCTTCTTCTTCTTCTTCTTCTTTCTTCTTCTTCTTCTTCTTCTTCCCCCCCCCTTTTTGAAGTCCAGCCGTGAGGAGAAGGAGAAGCTACTACATCACATACCTTGCCTCTGCCAGCCACAGCACCCTGAAGAAGCATGGCTATGTCCTCTATCTTCTCTCTCTTCAAAGGATCGCTCCATGAATTGTGGTTGGCGATCAGTCGTGTAGTAGAAGTAAGTATCGTGTCAAGAATCCGGAGTTTATTGGCCCGCAAAGAGCTTCCCGTTTCTGCACGACGATGCCAAACCACGACCACATGCATCCCCCAAGCCACCCCCAGCACTCCCC